CTAGGACATATGGATATGCAATAGATGTCATGTGTCATGGTATGTACAATTATGATGACACGATGTAGATTGTAAGACATAGGTGAAGACGATGATTCCAGGAGGACATGCGAGCAGCTTCAGGTATCGCCCACCACAGACAGCTGGAAAGCTTGGCAGGTTTTAAGGGCAGAGAAGCAAAAATAGCAGAGGGTTAGAGAAAGGCAGTCAATATCAAAATGTTGAATTCTCATCGGCAAGATAAATAGTGGAGCTAATTTACAGAGTTTCACGAGTGGGACCACACATCACATCATGTCACATCATTGCCAGCATTTCCATATATACCCACACGTCCCATCTCCTCTTCTTCGCTCTCGCATTCTGAACCCCTAACCCCCACCCCTTTCTCTGTCCTGTCTCCTCATTTCCTTCCTCTCCATAGGGTTATAGGGGGTCCATCGTGCCCGGGTGCTATGGTGGATTTCCCTATCGCAGTTTCCCCACGACTCTTTCAAATGTCTATTCAGCAACTGCAAACCGCATACATCTTTCTGTTTCAATCATCAGTAAATCATTTAATAGTATCTGTTGATTGTGTGATCCTTGCTAGTGAATACACTGTATTAGTATTCATGTTAATATATAAAGCCTGTGCCTCCCAGCTATGTGGAGTCCTTCACCATGTCTTCAACCTGAGCCTGAGTCTCCAAAGGGTCCCTGTGCTGTGTAAGACATCTTGCCTCGTTCCTGTGCCATAAGACGCCACGTCCCAGTGACTCCAAAGACTACAGACCTGTGACACTGACCTCCCACATCATGCAGACCATGGAGAGACTGGCTCTGGATCAGCTGCGGCCCATGGTGAGACCTCTCCTGGACCCCCTCCAGTTCGCCTACCAGCCCCGACTGGGAGTTCAGGATGCCATCATCTTCCTGCTAAACCGCATCTATGCCCACCTGGACAAGCCGGCGAGCACATTGAGGGTCATGTTTTTTGACTTGTCCAGTGCTTTCAACACCATCCAGCAGACCCTGCTGGGTGAGAAGCTGACAGCGATGCAGGTGGATGTCCCCCTTGTGTCCTGGATTGTAGACTACCTGACAGGCAGACCACAGTATGTGCGCCTGCAACACTGTGTGTCAGACAGCATGGTCAGCAACAGCGGGGCCCCGCAGGGGACGGTCATCTCTCCCTTCCTCTTCACCATCTACACCACAGACTTCAACTACCACACAGAGTCCAGTTACCTTCAGCAAGGGTGACAAGGCTGAAACAGAGCTGTGGTGGGGGACTTGGTGTGAGCAGAACCATCTACAGCTCAACATGACAAAGACTAAGGAGCTGGTTTGTGGATCCAAGTAGAGCCAAGGCACCAGTGAGCCCTGTTTCCATCCAGGGGGTCCCTGTGGACATTGTGGAGGATTATAAATACCTAGGAGTGCACTTGGACAATAAACTGGACTGGAACACTCAAGCCCTCTACAGGAAGGGCCAAAGCCGTCTCTATTTTTTCCTCAACGTGCGTCATGACCCTCAACGTGCTCGCCCGCTTTTTCTAGTTTTCATGCTTTTATCTTGTATTGTTTTAGTATTATTTTCTCTTGGGTATTATTGTCTTTACACTTGTTAAAGCACTTTGTAACTTGTTTTTGAAAAGTGCTCTACAAATAAAGATTATTATTATTTTCTGATGAGGCCGAGGTCCTTCAACATCTGCAGGACGATGCTGAGGATGTTTTATGAATCTGTGGTGGCCAGTGCTATCCTGTTTGCTGTTGCATGCTGGGGCAGCAGGCTGAGGGTAGCGGACGCTAACAGACTCAACAAACTGATCCGCAAGGCCAATGGCCCTAAAATAGACCCTTGTTCAGTGTGACCGCATCAGACAAAACAGGGCCAAACCGAACAAACTGAATGCGTTTTGTTAAGTAGCTGTTTATCCAACTAACCATGTTTATACTAAAGCCAAGTTTTTGTATGATATTGATGAGGTGACCGTGATCAACGGTGTCAAACGCCTTGGTCAAGTCAATAAACAATGCTAAACAAGCATGTTTACTTTCAAGTGCTGTTTTAACATCTATTATTTTTAAAGTTGTTGTGATTGTACTGTATCCTGCCCTGAAGCCAGATTGAAATACTACTGTTTGTTAAACTGAAAGATTTGAAATAGGTCTGTAGTTTGTTCATGTCTGTGGGATCACCTGATTTAAGTAAGGGAATGACATATACTTCTCTATATACCACTATCTTTATTATATTCCTTTGCCCTTGTGCAATGTGTGCAACTGTAACACAGAATTTCCTTTAATTGAAAGATGAGTCTTCAGCTTAGATTTAAAGGTCTCAACCGGGTCAGACTGTCTGATGTCAGCAGGAACATTATCCCAGACAAAAGGGACTGGTTTCAGTTAGATCCTAGCTGCTGCATTTGAAACAAGACTTTTAGTAGTATTGCATGGTATTCCAGACAACAAAACGTTACAGTAATTTAATCTATAAGAAACAAAGCCATAAATTACAATCTCTGCATCAGACATGCACAGATAATACCTAACTGCCGGTGTGGCGCATAAGTTATCAAGACATCAGTATGATAACTTTTTTTAAAAAGCAACAGAACCTACACATGGTTTACTCACTCTCTGACGCCCAAAATCTATCCTTTCATAACCACAAATATATTATACCCATCATCATTACATGCTGAATTGATGCTTGGCTTGTAATCATTTCCATAGTGGTGTGTGTGTGTGTGTTGGCTGTGTTTGCAGTTTACTGGCCCAGATAGGCTTGTGCTGTGTCTACTGAGCAGGGTGCTGTCCCACATTCACCCTGCTCTTCATTCCCTGAGTGACTAACAGCAGCAAAGTTAATGGATGTGTAATGCCACAGTGGGCGACTCCATCCCACCAGTGGCCCAGATACTGGAAAAAGGCACTGTTTTCTCTTAAGCTGCTGCTAAGTAGAAATAGTGCCAATGAATGTTTGATGATTGTTCTGTTTTTAGTTTTTCGTCATTCTATACTTTGCATGACTCATCGGCTGCAACATCTGAACGGGGATGTGATGAAATGTAAAGTTTTAGATGTTGAGCAAAGTCATCTGCCATTTGTAAAGCAATTAACTGGATTTGTTCACCAGTCAGTTATTTTAATTTTACCTACCTATCTACAGCATGCTAGTTATTCCAGTAGAACGGTAAATAGAAATCAGACATTACAATCCTAGACTGCTTCTCCAAATATTAATTTTGAGAGAGTGATGAATCATCCCAGATTGACATTTCATTTAAGATTTTTTTTGTCTGGTTTCATTTCATTATAAAATGGCACTGGAATAAAGGTCAATCTTTCTGTCTGATCAGTGGATGAATGCATTTTTATAGCTCTAATACCCTTTTGGTATTATGAGAATGAAGTCACGCAGTGCAGAAAATATAGATGCAGATTCATATTTATTCTCAAAATATAAGGGGAGGTTGCATTCATGTGGGACACAGTAACAGTATAGGGCGATATGTTGGTCAGACAGTTTTGCTGTAGTGTTTGGCCTATATAGTACACATGCACTAAAATATTTGTCTTCCCTGAAAACTCAGGAAATCTTTTCATTCAGCTTATTTAAAAGGAGTGCAGATGCCAAGGGAGCACATTTCAAAACACAATTTTCATGTTCTAGAATTAAGTTGTATTTTGTTGCATGTCATTTTCATAACATACAATACAAGTCAGAGAATATTTAAATACTTAAATCTAAATACTGAACATTGGATCATGCTAAAAATAATTTAGGAAATTTGTACAACACATTTCCTAACGCAGAACAGATTCAATGGGGGTTGGGTTGTTGCTTTCAGTTCATTTCTATCAGGAATGGGAGACCAATGTTTAAAATTCAGTTTAAAGAAACACTGACTGCAGATTACTGTTTATTTTAGCAAATTGTTTGTCTTTTTTTAACTCTGGCCAGCTGTTTCAAACACTTTCAAACAAAGAGTAATTTTTAAAGCCAATGTTCTTCAGTAGTCCAAAGAAACTAATGAAAGTCATGTTATTGAACTAAAGTACCATCATTAATGATAATTAATACAGAATCATGGACAGCCATAAATGATTGGTCAAATAGGATGCACTATATATACCATATACAAGTGATCAACAGTGATTATAGCACATTCCACTTCCTGAATTGAGAGAATTGAAAGCAAAAATTAATCCAACCTTTCTCCACACTTAATGTCACACATACCTGCAAGAGTTTACAATACACAGGACTATGTAGCTATACAATATCTAAGTGCAATCTATTTTGGCACAGTTTCAGATAAGTGTTCACTCACTTTATTGTTCGTTGTAAACACACAAAGTACCACAACAAGTCTAGTCACCTGCATACGAGTGTCTACTTCACAAAGAACTGAAGATAAGCAGAGGTAGTGCTGGGCGATATGAGATGATATTTATCCCAGTCATTGATGGAATAAAATCAAATTGTCAAATGCTAAAGATGGTGAAATTGTTGACAAAATATCGGAACATGGTGTTATTTTGTTTTACTTTATGCCTGAATGAAAAGAAAGGATATCTATGAATGTACTGGTCATGTCCCGGCAAAAACCGCAAGCCATGTAGGTAATGTTCACCATTTAACTGATATTAGCTCGAAAAGAGAGCTGAGCCATAAAGCTCTCGATCTACCAGTCAATTTTCGTTCCTACCCTCACCTATGGTCATGACCGAAAGAACAAGACTGCGGGTACAAGCGGTCGAAATGGGTTTCCTCAGGCGGGTGGCTGGTGTCTCCCTTAGAGATAGGGTGAGAAGCTTGGCCATCCGCGAGGAGCTCAGAGTAGAGCCGCTGCTCCTTTGTGTTGAAAGGAGCCAGTTGAGGTGGTTTGGGCATCTGGTAAGGATGCCTCCTGGACGCCTCCCTAGGGAGGTGTTCCAGGCACGTCCAGCTGGGAGGAGGCCTGGGGGAAGACCCAGGACTAGGTGGAGAGATTATATCTCCACACTGGCCTGGGAATGCCTCGGGGATCTCCCAGTCAGAGCTGGTTAATGTGGTTCGAGAAAGAAGTTTGGGGTCCCCTGCTGGAGCTGCTGCCCCCGCAACCTGACCCCAGATAAGCAGATGAAGATGCATGGATGGAAGATCAATAATTGGCTTTGGCATTTCATGTCGTTTCTTGCTGTCTTTCATTTTTGCTCTAGTTAGCTTAATGCGAATAGCGTCTATTGTGATAAATATCATTATAGCATGATATTGTAATTTTTTTTAAGATAATATTTTTAGACATATTGCCCAGCACTAAGTAGAGGTTAAACAATTACCTTATCCAATCCCCTCATTTCTGTACAGTCTACTAAGACACGTCTTTGCTAAAGGGATTGCATGCATGGAGCTGGTGTAGACAAAGGAAATAGTCGCGCTTGTTGCCCCATCCTTGCAGATTCACAGTATTCAGAGATGATGTCAAAAGGGTTATGATTTATATTTAAGTCCAGTTCCATGTTCTCTGTGGTCTATCAGATTCAGTCAAACAGACCTCCGTTGGCCTTGTGCATGCGTCCTGTTGACTATATCCTGATACATCTTTGACCTGAGGAATCGTGGGTAGGAGTCTTTCTCCATGAGGCTGTAGACTTTAGCTTGGACATCATTGAGGCTGGTTGGGGACGGATCCTCCAGACTTTGCTTGGTCTTTTCTCTGGTGCGGTAGTCAATGTTGACCTGCCACGATAAGGAGAGCAAATCACTTTTTAAAAATAGCAACATTGACCCCATATAAATTTGTAGTGTCTTGTATCCAGATAAAATCCAGATGACCTTTACAATACTTTAATTTAGAGTTATAGGTGTGACTCTACTGTGATAACTGTTGGCCAGATCACAAATAGGATTGCAATCTGTCTTGGTTTTCCCAGGCTACATACAAATCAGAGTCAGACCTCCTCAAGCTCAGGTAGTAGTAGTAGTAGTACACCTGAAACTGTTTGGCAACTTCTGCACTGCAGCAGTTTAGTTACAGTAGTAACAGTATAGATAGTGTTAGCCAACTATCCAACACAAACACATGACTGAATCGTATGTATGTACGTACTATGAGTAAGACAGAAGGTTATATTGTCTATTCAGCTGTTGAACTGCTCTATTAGATTTTAATAGAGCAAAAATATCCAAACTAAATAAGTTTGTCACATACAGTGGGGAGAACAAGTATTTGATACTCTGCTGATTTTGCAGGTTTTCCTACTTACAAAGCATGTAGAGATCTGTAATTTTTATCATAGGTACACTTCAACTGTGAGAGACGGAATCTAAAACAAAAATCTAGAATATCATGATAATTAATTTGCATTTTATTGCATGACATAAGTATTTGATCACCTACCGACCTGTTAGTTCTTCTTTAAGATGCCCTCCTGTTCTCCACTCATTACCTGTATTAACTGAACCTGTTTGAACTCGTTACCAGTATAAAAGACACCTGTCCACACACTCAAACAGACTCCAACCTCTCCACAATGGCCAAGACCAGAGAGCTGTGTAAGGACATCAGGGATAAAATTGTAGACCTGCACAAGGCTGGGATGGGTTACAGGACAATAGGCAAGCAGCTTGGTGAGAAGGCAACAACTGTTGGCGCAATTATTAGAAAATGGAAGAAGTTCAGGATGACGGTCAATCTCCCTCAGTCTGAGGGCATCAATGATCATGAGGACGGTGAGGGATCAGCCCAGAACTACACGGCAGGACCTGGTCAATGACCTGAAGAGAGCTGGGACCACAGTCTCAAAGAAAACAATTAGTAACACACTACGTCGTCATGGATTAAAATCCTTCAGCGCACGCAAGGCCCCCCTGCTCAAGTCAGCGCATGTCAAGGCCCGTCTGAAGTTTGCCAATGACCATCTGGATGATCCAGAGGAGGAAGATCATGTGGTCTGATGAGTAAAAAATAGAGCTTTATGGTCTAAACTCCACTCGCCATGTTTGGAGGAAGAAGAAGGATGAGTGCAACCCCCAAGAACACCATCCCAACCGTGAAGCATGGAGGTGGAAACATCATTCTTTGGGGATGCTTTTGTGCAAAGGGGACAGGACGACTGCACCGTATTGAGGGGAGGATGGATGGGGCCATGTATCGCGAGATCTTGGCCAACAACCTCCTTCCCTCAGTAAGAGCATTGAAGATGGGTCGTGACTGGGTCTTCCAGCATGACAACGACCCGAAACACACAGCCAGGGCAACTAAGGAGTGGCTCCCTAAGAAGCATCTCAAGGTCCTGGAGTGGCCTAGCCAGTCTCCAGACCTGAACCCAATAGAAAATCTCTGGAGGGAGCTGAAAGTCCGTATTGCCCAGCGACAGACCCGAAACCTGAAGGATCTGGAGAAGGTCTGTATGGAGGAGTGGGCCAAAATCCCTGCTGCAGTGTGTTCAAACCTGGTCAAGAACTACAGGAAACGTATGATCTGTTACTGCAAACAAAGGTTTCTGTACGAAATATTAAGTTCTGCTTTTCTGATGTATCAACTACTTATGTCATGCAAATTATTTAAAAATCATACAATGTGATTTTCTGGATTTGTTTTAGATTCCGTCTCTCACAGTTGAAGTGTACCTATGATAAAAATTACAGACCTCTACATGCTTTGTAAGTAGGAAAACCTGCAAAATCAGCAGTGTATCAAATACTTCTTCTCCCCACTGTAAAAGGAATAAACGTTTGGTAAACCCTGTCACTTGTTTGGAGAGAAAGTGTGGAAGCAGTGAAAGGTTAATACAGAAAGTCTCTCACACGAAAAGGGACAAAAAACAACTTTGTATTTGTGAAAAGAAAACAGTGTTCATATGAAATATTTTAAACCTTGGTCTGACCTTTATTTTCATCATGGTCAGTTTATAAATATACTAAGATATCACAATTATATTCATTTAAAAAAAAAAAAAAAGGCTTTTCCCAAGGCTCATTAAGTAAAGGGAAGCACAAAACAAACAGACACACACCTCTCTTGGTGCCTGAATATCAATGAACTCCTTAAAGATCTTGTTTGCTTTTGAAACGAGCTTGGTTGAGCTCTTGATTTTTTTGTACTCCTCGCAGGCCATCCAAAACTCAATATTCTCGTCGCTGAATTCCGTCTTGAGAAATGTCCGGAAGGCAGCAAGGCCATCTGGAAAGAACAAATGAATCAGACGGTTAGGGAGGAGGTAAAAACAACAAAAACAACAAAAACACTTCAAAAGCATGATTGATATTGCAGCGTAGAACCTATTTCTGTACAGCAGCTGAGAACTCCCTCTTCTATGGATGTTTTTTTCCCCCTTCAGCAGAGTAGTTTGATCATGTGATAATACCTTTCATCCTATGTTGACATTTTTCCAGTGCGTACACACTCTTGTTCCCAGAAGCGGGAAACGGCTCTCATGATTAGAACACAAAACAAATCAGAACAAAATACTCCCACAAAGAGGTATTTTTTTATGTCTTCATCAGTCAAGATAAGTGATCAATTAATGTGTTCCCCATTGATGATAACACAGAGGAGGGCATGTTTTTCTATGGGCCTGTGTCACATTGACATGGTATTTCCACTCTCCTCATTTCTGCTGTTTACCTAATAATAATGCAGAGCAGAGGGGATTGTCCACATGTGCATATGCAACATCATTACTCACTCAGAAACACACATTCTAATGACACATACACAACATGCATGTTTACATGGGCACTGGGCTACACACACACACCTAGCTGCTGTTTGCAGATGTCCCCAAATAACTGTGGCATTAGGGAATGTTACGACTTTAACAGTGTTCCCTTTTCTCTCCTTGAGATTTCTGGAAAAGCATATGAATGGATTTCTCTCTCTCGATCTCTCTCTCTCTGCGTGTGCATTTGCAGCACATTTTTCAAATGCTAAGATGCTGTGTCCAAAACTGTTAAAACACACTGGCAAATGAAGTTTGAAAACATAGATCAAAGAAGACAGGTTGGTGGGGAAAGAAGAGTGACACAGTTGGATTAGACATTCCAGAAGATCCTACAAGCTTTCCAAGATGCATCGCCAGAGAAGACAAAATATGGAGTTCAGCCAGGAAGACTGTTCTTACACGTCACTCATTCACAACTCTCTCCCTCTCATTCACCCTCTACCTAACAGCTGATTATGGGCGTCCTCGCTTAGTTTTCCAATATGGTTTCACCACGATCAGCTCAGCCAAGGGTTAGCCATGAAGTCACACCTTAAATGTGTTCGGTCATCTGCTGACAGAGCGCAACAGACCCAGGCACAGTTCAGTTCAAGCCTTCCCCTCTTCTCATCCACTTTTCCAGCAACTTCTTCCTTTCTTCAACTCACTATCAGTGTCTAGGCTCCATAGAGGGTTTTCTATGCATCTGCAGCTCCACCCTCTTTTGAAATTACCTCGTCATCACGACAAGTCTAATCGCAAATGACTTTCCACATTGTCATTAAATATAACCCTAAAGTACTGTACAGTATGAGTGATTATACTATACATGTTGTTGATTATTGCCGCTCTGGAATTTCAGGAATTTGTTTTGTTTCAACTTTTTATTTTTCACAATTACTATATGCAAACATATAGAACAAATAAATGACAGTGAAGCAAATTGCTGCCTTTCTGATTCATTCTTGTTACATATACTTAAATACAGTCAAAGTTAATTCAATTCTATAACAAATACTGATTTGTGAAAAAAATTCACTCAGATAAGTTGTAATTTATACATACAAGGTAGTTTATCATAACACAGCACAAGGTTTTAGAATGAAAAGAAAGTTTATAGTCCCTTAACAGATAATTCTCTAAAATATGGGAACATAATATACTAGTTATGTTTATACATTGCTTGAAAAATTGGAACACTTACTGTGAATTCAGACCAAACCCAAATTTAATCTTAGTGTCACTTTTCTTGCATGAGTTTGATTGATAGACCAATCACTGAGGGTTCACATACAATGTGATAATGCGAATAAACACAACCCGCGATTACTACAGCGGCATGAACCCAAAATAAACATTTTGCTGTGATTTGATACCGAAATAACTACAAAATGAAGCGGATTTTTTAAACATGTGAATTCATGCTTTGTCAAGGCAATCAGCAAGACAACTTTTAAAATGCTTGTTTTCTGAATGCAGTTCGGACTGATCAGGTCTATGCTATGCTAACTTGTTCATAGTAAAGTACGACGATCGCTTAAATTCAGAATCACATTTTCTGAGCTTACCGGGTAGTTCAGCTTCCTCGCTTACTTTTCTCCAAGCAATGTCCAGTTTTGTCCAAATATGAATTAGTATTACAAAGCTCTGGGTGCCCACAGATGCTTTCGTGGAACAGTGGAAGTGGGAAACACACAGTGGCTCGCTCCTGAAGATAAAAACCTTTATTCCCAAAAATTAAAATTTAATAACAAAAGTTAATAAAAGCAATAAACTCTAATCCAGTTTGACTGCGAGTGTAAACTTGTTCAAAAGCTTCTCTCTGCGAAATCGCTTCTCTTTCTGCATCTTTGCATTTACTTTGTATGTAATTGCGCCGCGCCTTACACTCACCTCACGTTTGGTCTCAAAGTACCATTAATCACACAGTATAACATTATGTCAATCAAACTTAAGGCATAGCAATCTGTCCAGTTAGGAAGCATAAGCGATTGTGTCACCTGTTTTGGTGCAAATCAAAATGACAACAGGTGCACTGGAGCAGTAACCGCAAGACAGGCAGTGGCCACAGACATTTGATCTTGTCATCTTTCCTGACTGATATCTACACTGCACGCACAATTATTAGCCAAATTGTATTCCTCAGGATTCATCTTATTGTTGAATGAACGCGCACACAAACCCCATTTTTTGGCCTTTCAAAAAGATTCAATGACCTATATAGTCAGTCTTCTTTTCAATAACTGCCATCCTTTCATCCATGGAGTCAGTTTCTTGATCTATTCACAATCAACTTTCGCTGAAGCAGCAACAGCGAACAGCCTCCCAAATGCTGTTCAAAGTGGTGCATTGTATTCCCTGACTGTAAATCAAGTCAGGTGAGGAACCTGAAAAAGTCCAACTATGTATTAATGAGAGCAGCCCATTGTCCATCAAGATTCACTGTCACATCATTTATCCATAAAACCTTTGAAAAGTCTGTCATAGGTTATATCTTTGCTCAGGTTTGATGCTTCAACTTGTGAATCTTATTCAGTGTTGGTCTTGTTTCAGCCTTCCTGACATTGGCCATATCTTTGCGCACTTGGCACCTTGTACTTCTGGAAACTCCAGGTAGGTTGCAGTTCTGGAATAGATAGATAGATAGATATTCATCCCCACAGGGAAATTCAAATGTCCATCAGCCTATAATGTGTGTTGTCTACCAACAAGTCCTACAAGCTCCTATCATTAATAGTACATAAATCGTGCACTTCAAACAGATCCATTATGCAGTCCTTACGGCACAAATGACCTCCTGAACCTCTCAGTCCTGCAGCTCACAGAGAGGAATCGGTCACTGCGGCTGCTTTGCTGAGCAACCACAGTGTCGTGCAGTGGGTGGCTCCTCTTGCTAAGGATGGATTTCATCATGCTCCTCATCCTTTCCTTTCCTCCACCAAATCTCCCACAGAGTCCACCCTCCTCCCCAACACTGACCCACACTTCCTAACCAGTTTGTCAAGTCGGTTCCCTTCCCTGGCTGTCATGCAGCTGCCCCAGCACACTACAGCAAAGAACATAGCACTGGCCACCACCGACTGTTAAAAAAATAAAAAATAAAAAAAGTACAGCATCTCATTACATACTTGGAAGGATTTTAGCTTCCTAAGAAAAAACGTCTGCTCTGACCTTTCCTATAAGATGCATTTACATGTATTGACCAGTCCAGTTTATGGTCCAGGTGGACTCCCAAATATTTGCGTGTCTGGACCACCTCAATGCCCTCCCCCTCAATTACCACAGGCACATGATTTAACTTACGCCTCCCAAAGTCCACTATCATCTTCTTGGTTTTGGAAGTATTGAGGATGAGACCATTGCACCTGCTCCAGACCAAAAACTCTGAGATGACGCTCCTGTATTCTTCCTTGTCTCCTCCCCTCACACAAGCCGCCACCACAGTGTCATCAGAATAATTTTGTATATAGCGTGATGATATCCTACATGAGAAGTCTGATGTATAAAGGGTGAAGAGGAAAGGTGATAGCACAGTTCCTTGAGGGGCCCCAATGCTTGTTTCCACAGTGTCTTACACCGTGTTCCCCATTTTCACATACTGTGGCCGCTCTGTCAGATAACTGATGATCCATTTGATGAGAGCTGGCTCCATGCCCAAATTCTCAAGTTTGCCTCCCAAAATCTGAGGCTGGATGGTGTCAAAAAACATCAGCCTAGCATACCCCCCTGTCCCATCAAGAAAAGAGAGGGCTCGATGAAGCAAGTAGAGGACAGCATCCTCCACCCCCATGTTCGCTCGATAGGCAAACTGCATGGGGTCAAGTGCCTGCTGTAGTTGTGGGCCCACGAGCCAAAGGAGGCGCCTTTCTAGGATCTTCATAATCAGACGTCAAGGCCACTGGTCTTTTAATCCTTGACCCCGGAGGGTCTCCCCACCTTAGGCACTGGCACGATGAAGGATGTCTTTCATTGCTTCGGCACTTGACTCTTCTGGAGACTCCAATTAAAGTGTGTGCAGAGGAGCCACCAGCTCCACAGCACAGTCCTTCAGCAGCCTTGGTGGTATTCCATCCGGTCCAGCTGACTTGCCATTGGAGGATAATGGGTTCCTGGTTGCTTCACATTTAATTCTTCTGCAGTTAATTTGTCCCTTTTCTTCTCCATGTGCTTTTTATCCCTCAGTTGACTATTAGCAACAAAACATTTGATTGTCCGGTGGTCACGCCTCTAAAGTTTAGCCATTTCAAGAGTGTTGCATCCGTCTGAATAGCATTTTACAATTATGGACTTCAGTGTCAGTTAAATCTCTTTTTTGGCACATTTTACCTGAGGTAATAATGCTGCCTAATAAATCATGTACACCTTGTAATCAGGTGTGATCCACTTTTGCCACAACCTCCCTCATAAATATCACCTGAAAATTATTAACTCCAAGGAGCATTCAAGTTTATATGGTTTGGAGTTGGAAATTGTGCATAGAAATAATCATTCAGTCAGAATACTTACTTGCCTAGCAATTGTGGTGTACACAAACAATGAGCTACAGTACACTACAAAAGGAACTGCAGATTCAGATGATAATTCTTTGTAGGTTCATCACTACGAGTTTCCTATTTCACACTATCACATTTTCTTCTTATTGTCATTTGATACTTTGGTGTAAACTCTCACCTTACAGTCACTTTAAAGCTTTACAAGTGTGTTTAGTGCATTTCCTTCCAAAATAGTGTGAAACCAACCGTAGGAGTTGAATTGCGCTGCCCATATGCTCATACCACAAATCAAAAACAAAGGAGACCCACTCAAAAACATAAAAATAACCTCTTCCCCATAGCGCTAGGGCTTTGAAGAACTCCACTGGGTATTCTATTTGGTTTATAAATGCTTTCAAACAAACAGCATCATTTGACAGGATTTACCAAAACATGGTTAAGTAGTTCTATTATAGTTCATTTGGAAAGGACAGGGTCTAAGGGTCTGTAGCTTGGAAGGCATGTGAAGGGGTTAGACAGTTTAGAAGTGTTGGCTGAAAGTAAGATTGACTGAGCGAGACAGGAGAAGGCATACAAAGAGGCAGGCGCACTGAAGAAGTCCAGATTAGGGCTGAGTTGCAGCCGGAGCAGAACAATATGAATTCAGCAGGAAAGCTATCTGAGAATGTCCTAAATCAGCGCACTAAGGGAATTTACTGTAATGAACTGACAGGAGAGTGTCCAGAGACTGAAGCTTAAATACATCAGAGCAATTAGGAGCAGCTGGGAGTAATGAGGATGATGCACAGCAGCTGGGGCTAAAACAATCACTAGAGAATCAGGAAAGACAACGCGGATTATGTATTAAAAAATACACTGCTGCTAAGCTTAACACGTGGCTGCTATGCTTGAAATTAAATGAAACAGACTTTTTTTGCATGCCACTCTTGATAAAACATCAGCTAAAATACAAACTGTATCCCTGATACAATATGTTTAAAAGCACAGCAGTGCTGCTTGTCAACCTCACAGTGTGTTCTTGCATTAACAAGACATGTAACAGCTGACAGTGTGCACAGGTCAGGCCTCCAGCACACATACAATCAGTTATACACACTGAGGAATGACACTAAAATGCTGTGTAACACACTAGCTGTCCTTTTAAATGAAATTAAGCCTAGGTATATGTAATATCCTATCAAGGGAACATTCAGTACTGTGTTCCTATTACTCTGACATTACTTATGTAACGTGTGTGTGTGTGTGTGTGTGTGTGTTTCATGGACATGCTTAGGTTCTCAATTGAAACAGGATACGCAGGTGTATCGCACACTCTCTGCCTGGGGAAGGCCCTATTCTTGGCTCTGTAACTTTGTTTTCTGGGGATGACATTAGCTTTCTAATGGCTGTGTGTCAAACCAAGGTGTTATGTCATAACCTCGATCTGAACAAAACAGATAATGTTAATACAAGTGCAGGATGTTTACAGCTCAGTCAAGGCCGACTGTCTCTAAGCCCTTTGTTAGCACAGTGTTTGATATGATGGAGTTAATCATGGTTTAAATTAAGACTTTTTTACACCTCAAAAAGAGTCAAACAGCACTTCAGAGGACTCTTTCTTACCCGTTATTTTAAATACTACAATATATTCCTATATTCATTCCTCAAGAATTTTGAAATATGATTTGAGATACCCCTAATACCATACCATCTCTTGATGTTAGTTGAACATCTTGCCTGCCTGCATCACTCCCAGTGGCTCATTAATGTCCTTCATCACACAACAAGCTAATGGAGATACTGTAGGTTAATGTAAGTAGTTAGTTATCAAGCTTGTTAATACACTTCATACCTTCAGAGTTTTTTAATTAGATTGTGTCAAGTGTCTATGGATGAATGCTAAAGTTAGCTAGTTTCTACTAACTAACTAACTTTTACAATTTAGCTAACTATTGTTAGCTTGCTAAATCTAACATTAAAGTTAAAGTGAACTATGTTGTTACCTTGATGATAGCCTTTCCTATCATTTCCAATGCTGGCTTGGCATTTCATTACCATTATGAAATGTAATAATTTATCTAATTGTTAGCTAATACTGGACTTATGCAGGATCAGTGAAATTCAAATTAGTTATTGTGAAGATACATTTTGATAATAAGCATGCCATTCGTTTCACTCTGGAATTTCGTGAGTTTTACCTTGCTAGATAACTACAAAAATATGAAAATCCAGGTGTTCAAATGTATGACTACTACCCATACATTTGAAACCCAGTACCCCGCAGGCCCGTGCTTCAATGAACTAAAGTCTTACAACGCTTACAATATCCTTGCTTGTTTATTTAATGTTTGCAGTCAGTAGATGATGATAAGTCAAATTGATTACACCAGTTCATAGGTGCCACATACCACACAACAACCTTTGTAGTCAGGGGTCACTAAGTATTCTAGAGCAAAACTGCCAGCAAGTAAGACCACACCTGGTCTTGGTCCCGTCCTGCTCGTTACCCGATGTTTAAATGTTGGTTTGTTCCGTTCAGTCTTTGTGACGTCCTTGTCTATATTTAGTGTTTTGCCCAGTGTGTTGGCTTTCCCTACATCTTTGGATTACCTTGTGTTTTTGGATTTTCCCTTTTGTTTGGAATCTTGTATTGTGTCACGTAAGCCTGTTTTGGTTGTTCTTAATAAACCCTTTGAACTACCTTGTGTATTGTTTGCATTTGGGTCCACACCTCTGCTACCTGCCATTGCACTCATTGACAAAGGGACCATCAATTGGTATAAAAAGGCAAAGAAAAATGGTAGACACGCCCGGGAGGCAAAGATTTTGCTGTGAAGACTGATTGATTCACATCCACATGTAAAAATAAGATTTGCTTAAGATTATTTTAATGGAAAAGACTGGCAGTGACTAGATCAGTGGGCAAACTAATAAAGGAGCTCTTTGGAGTTTTCCTTTTGATGAATCTATTGAAAGACAAGTAAAGCAACTATTTTCATAATCCATTTATCATTGCGTGCCACTCAAATGTATTTTTCCTATGTTAATGTCCCATAAAATGTCAGACCTTGACTTAACTGACTTGAATCTGTGCAAAGTTTGTCACTAGAGCGGTGTTTTCCCATACCTTTTACTGAAGGGGGATATATCTGTTCATTTCTAAAATGTCTGGTTAAAAATAAGGGGTGTCACCGGGTGTTACTTGTAGGGATCCTTTTCATGATATTGTCAGACACCTGCTGTAACAGTCTGAACCTCTCAGTAGCAAAAAGAAGCACTTTTGTGGATCATTTTGACAGGTGTAATTGCCATCTTCTGTAGGTGTAATGGTAGCCAGCTAGGCTGTGCAGTGAGTAAGCTTCACTCCCTGACGCCTTCAGAGATGTACTAGCGTCCATGGGTTTTAGCTTCCTTGGTAGCGTGTCCGCCTCCCAAACACAGCTGGTTAGACTAGGACTAGTACAAAACTTTTTTTTTCCTACTAGTCATTTCAGCCCCATAATATGTGAAAATAGGTTTTCTAGCCCAGGTTTTAAAATACTGAAATTAACCTTTAACACCCTTTGCATTTGTCAGGAAGGTGTATAGTATTAACTATGTGCCTGATGCACATGTTAGCATAGCAATAGAGCAAAAGACACAAAGTAGCCCACTCTTAAACCATACAAACTGTGATTTTTCTCCCATTTCTCAACAGCATCTGACTTGGATCAACTTTGTCTTATTATAAAGCAGCCCAACCAATAGGAAAGCAAAATCCAATAAGAGATCTCAAGTTTGTTTCCTAGACACAAATTAGCTACTTTTAATTCTAAGGTGAAACCAAAGAATTTTTCTCCTATTTCTCAACTCACGCTCAGGAGAAACAACCACATACAATCTCATTTATACCGTACTCTGATCAAAACAAGAGATCTCTAAATCTAATCTAAGTCTCCTGAGCATGGGACCAGGCTGGCCAATAGGAATTATAGTCGGGGGGACATTTTCCAAATTGGGCCCCTTGACACCCACCCCAACACCACCTTCACCCACCCACCCTTAGTTCTAATACAAACATGGACAATTTCAAAGAATCTCTTGATCATTATCCTTATAGTGACACAGATGGAGTCCCAAACAATCATTTCCAAATTCGGCCATTGCCTCCCTATGATGTTATTCTTCTCTGTGTAATTTGGCTTTCTTTTCTGGGCCCCTGACAAGCTGCAGTGTTCACTTAAAGGGACTGGCTTAACATTAGTGGGTCCTGCAGTGTTTCGACTGTACCATTTTCTCAGTAACAGCGCAGGGTGGGTTATCAGATGACAAGTATGAAATAGGGACGAATGAAACACAGCAATTTTCTCCGAGCCCATAAAGCCATGGTCATGATCACATGAAAGATTAGTTAGTACTCAAACACATTCTGAAGTTTTAAATGTCAAAGTTTTACAGTTTAGAAGCTTGTAAAGTTTAAACATCAGAATCACTGTCGGGACGATTGAAACACCTGTTTCAGTCTCACAAGGGGACGTGCTCTGAATCTACTTGTGTTTTCTATGATCTGTCTGTTTAGTGAGTTTGATGTAAGTATTGAGACGTCCATATAGCTTTTAGCAGTTTGAAAATAAACACATGACCTGTTTGTGCAAATGCATTTGTGCAAGTGAGTCTATGGTAGGAAGGTCACAGGCAAGTATGTGACTCATTATGCTGTAAGGAGTCTTCAAAACACATAAATGAGGCCCTTACATAAGATGGTCTTGGTGGAGGAGAACTGGACTAGAGTGAAAAATAGAAACTATTAAAGAAACAGGAAATAACTATTTTACCACTACATTAAGGTGGTTTTAATGTTCTTGAATCTGGCTGTACGTGACTTCTGCAGTAGCGACTGTTCCCTCTGAAAAATAAAAAATGTCCACTTACATTTGTGAGAGAGAAGATGATCAAACGATTCTGACCATCGAACAACCTCATCCGTTGATAATCTGATGGAGAGAAAGCCAAAGGAAACTGCCTGAGTAAGATGCCAGCCAACCACTGTGTTTTCATGCATTTATAACACAAGAAGGTACTGTATGTATTATTGAAGGGCATCCAAGTTTAATATATGATTAATCCTCAGCTCACAGTTGTTCTTCCGCTCAAGGCTGCAAAGTAATTGTAATACCTGGTCACATTTACCGAATGATGACTGGTGGAAGGAGAAGAGACAGAAGGAAAAACAATAGCTGTTTTATGAAGTGGAGAAAACATGTTGAGATAACATCCATCTTAGAGACTATTAAAGAGATAAATGAGTTACTGTACTACTCCACCTTGGGAGATGGTATATGGAACCTTGGGCTAATTGTGTTACACATTTTTCAATAACAGTGTACAATGTTAATCTCAAACCACAAGTTTCCCCTAAAGTTTTTATGACATGATTATGCGTTCGAGCACCTTGCTGGGTTACCCTAAATAGGACTGGTTCCACTGAAATGGAGGGAAAAAACGTGTATTTTAAACATCATGAGACTTTAATGTACCACCCACATTTTATGCATAGTATGACTTGTAAATATTTGCATATGAAGCCATTAATAAGCCTAATGACTTAACTATTTTGCACAAATGGTTGTGTTTAATATATCACGTTGATTGTGGCAGTACATTGGCATACATTTGCAATAAAAACACAAAAAAACTGTAATGTCTTTTCTGTCAAAAGTTTTAAATAAATACCATAACATGAAAAAGAAATCAATATCAATTCAAGTGTTTACGCTATATTTGGAATATTTTCAGCCCTTGCCTTCTGATCTCGAACACCCAGCACAGTGACACAGTCTCGCACAATCGCTACACTCCACATCCTCATTTTCAGTTATAATCATAATCCAGGCCAATCATAACAAATCCAACATTTGAAGATGGAAGTTTGACAGGTGAACACATTTTTCTATGATATCCCAGGGTGCTGGATATCACTGACACGATCATTTTTGCAAGATGTGAAGTAATCAGTATGATTACTGTAAACATAAATACTGTGTGACACTTGTGCGTAATGCTGCATGATGGATGCACCGGACCTGCAGAAGACAACGCGAATGGATACCCACTCTGGCAACCGGCTGTTACCAGCGGGAATAAACCAACAGGAGTGTGCCTTTGATTTTTTGGGGAGTTCACTCTTAGTATCTTTATTAAGTTTGATTTTAGTCTGATGCTGCAACAGCTGGAACAGACCCAAACAGATGACCCAGTTGTGCTTATGCATAGGAATATGTAAACTCTACGGCTGAGAAAACGTAGTTCCAAAGGAAATGGCTCTCTGACTGCGAGCTAAAGCATTGAAAATATTCAAAATATAGCGTGCATATGAAATGATATTAATAGTCTGTTGGAGGGCCTTCTTTTAGGTGGCTACAATATATTTTGCTGCTGACCCTGTCCACAGCAGTACATAACTCTGTTTCTCCAAAGCAATGATGCGCCGACCAACATACTGCAGGTAATACACTGACTACAGACAAGTACCTCATACAGCCCCACTTAATAAAAAAATAACTATCCCTTTAACACAACAGAAACTTTTGTGTTTTAATTGGTTACAAATTTGAAGTCTCACAGAAAAAGACAGGATTTTCTTACTCACTTCAGACACCTGGCAGTGGTTTCGTGAGCAGGAGGCAGGAACTCTGAGAAGTCACTGTAGGAGTCAGATTTATTGGACAGGCAGCCAAGTCTGGTCTTCATGGTGCTGATCCTGCTGAAAAAACACACAATACTTGATGTTTTCTTCTGATGGCATATCTCAGCATTCAGCTAAAACCTTGTGACAAAGAAAAGATACCTTCCATTTCTGCAGTGTATCCAGATGGTTACTTACGTGTGGGTGCACGGATATGTTTACTTTAAACACAGAAACAAAATAATTCATTTTTCCATTCCACTGAGGCAGAAGGTGGTTTATATATCTGGAGCTCGGTCTTGGTTTTTAGACTTGGAAAGTGCAACCCAAACAGAGCTGGGACCATCAGCAACAAGCTGTTGTTTTTTTTGTAGAGCTGCATAAATGTGATCCCAACGCATAACAGGAAAATCACAACTATGTTCATTTAATTTTCCTGGATAATTGAAGATTAAAGTGCTTGTATTCGTTAGTGTTTTCAGTTAATGCAATTACATAACCAACAAAGCTTAAAAATGCATTTTAACTGTATGCTCGGGACTCTCTAGAAAACTGCTGTCATATTTTAGCATTTGCTAAGGTGGCTAATGGTAATGTTTTAACTTCATGTAGTTGGGCTGCCCCCTTAGATATTTAGACTATGACTAAATTCTTAAATGTTGCTGGGAGACCTGCTGAATAAACAGACTGTAAGAGGCAAGATGCAGAGATAAGGCTAACTGACTGTAGAGGACTGGACTGGATGTAGACAACAGGTGCAACTGCATATACAAAAAGTAGATTCATTATGGCTCTGCCTCATTCAGTTTCAAACATCCCTGATACCCAAATTAACATCCTGATAAGCTTTCCTGTTGTAGAAAACCTATGTAACAATTCATATCTGCAACTGAGTTTTACAGAGGCTGAGATACGGAGGCAGCTGTAAATCTGTTTTTTTTCTATATTGTACATGTAGTAGATGCTCATCAAACTGATCATCGTGCTAGGACACGGCTGGCAACAGCTAGAATGTGTAAATATAAATAATATTTCAATAAATATATGCTAGGTTTATTTATTTGTTGGCTATGGAAAATTGCCAACTGAATGTGCCATTTTTATACTGGCCTTAAATTGTGATTACAATTTATTTATTTATTTTTTTAAATCAAAAGGAGATTTGAACATACTAATATGACCCATATCCCCATCTCTCATCATAAGCTGCCCCATCTTATTTGGACACTACTGCTGTCATGAACTATTTGTCAGTGTTCCGCCTCTGGGACATATGCGTCAATCCAGATGGGACATGGTCGTAAATATGCCACATTAAAAGTTAAAAAAAGTTAGGACTATTTCACAGGAAAAAGATGTGAAAACATTGGATTGATGGACAGGTACATTCAGGTGAAATTGTTCACACTTTACTCCATGCCATGACAGACGAAACTCAGGTGTAAAATGAATGAATGAATTCTGCTTCTGATTTCCCTTTTTGATGTCATTAAGCATAGATATCTTATCCTTTTACAATAAACCAGAAATTGTCTTATTGTCTTGTGATTTCTTAGTGAAATGTAAGTGCTTTATTAGTAAATAATAAAAAAAAATGTTGTCCCCTTCCATTCCCAAGATTACATTCATAGTTTGACATTTTGGGAAATGCACTTTTTCTTCTCTGGCAAAGATTTAGATGAGAACATTGTGTTAAATATAAGGCTATAGCCAGCAGCTGGTTAGCTTAGCTTAGCTTAGCTTAGCATAGCACAAAACTGGAAATAGGTGGACATGGCTACCCTGGCTCTGTCACAAGGTAACAGCACTAAAGTTCACACGTTATATGTTGTTTGTTGAATGACAGTGCCAGGCTAACTGTTACCCCCCCATTACCAGACTTTGTGCTAAGCTAAGCATACCGCTGCTGGCTGCAGGTACAAGTTTACCAGAGAGGCGTGAGATTTTTCCCAAATATGTATTCAAAAAGTGCTCTTTTTAATAGATCATTGAGTTCATTTGTTAATAAAACCTCAACCAAGGTACCTCAAAAAGAGGATTTATGTGTTTTATACCTTAATGACAGAAACCTACATTGCTAAATTTACAAGATGCTGCATGGGCTTTATACAGTATATAATCTTTATTTAATCAGGTAATCTCATTGAGATCAAGCTCTCTTTTGCAAGAGAGACCCGAGTACAGCAGAGGAAAAGAAAAACAAACATAGATAGCCAAAACAAAATGACAAATACATACAATAGCCTAACAATCAAAAGCATATAACATAAAAAGAACATAGCCAGACATAACAACAGCACATACAGCATCAGACAATTACAGACGACCCTAAAGAGATCTGAAGTTAGAAGTTTAAAATTGACCAGTTTTATTCATTCTATTGTTTTGGATGCACTGGAGATATGATGCTTTTCCCAGAACCACCCATGTTGTGCATAAAATAGATGCACTGGACTGGAACAGTAGTTTGTGTGTCATCTATGTGAGTCATAATCTCAAGGTGCAGTTCATTTGTTAATGATTAGTTATTTTCAGAGGGGTATGCCAAAATAACGGGCAGAGATGTTTTTGGTGTTTAGTATTTAGGATAGATAGGAAAGTGAGTGAGTATCAAGTTTTACGTCAGATTTCTCCATAGACTTGTGGAAGGTTATGAAAGAGTGTTGTGAGCACATTGCTGTTCTTAAAGCCCTAGGTGGCTAAAATGTAAAGTTAAGGATGAAGTGCACGTAAAATGTCATAAAAAAAATGGTGTATGCTTACTGTTAGAGAAAAGGTCAGGGGATCGTTAAAATTAAGTGGATACCTCCTCTGGGGAACACGATTGTTCTCAGTGACATTTAGTGGCTGTTCTGGAGCTTTCTCATTTTAAGCTTAAAATGCTTAACCTTTATTATTCCATGGCAACTGTGTAACTCCATCTGCCTTGTTGCTGGAAGGTGCAGTACAAATAAATGTGGCATGTCTTGCCTTGTTGACATCTTCATCTTAGTCAAATTCCACCACTGAGTTATGCTTTTTGAAGGATCTTCCTTCAAATGGTGCCATTGTGTAGGCATCCCCATTCATGGATTGCATATTTAGATAATAAAAGATAGCGATGAGCAAAAATTAGAGGTTATTTCACACAGATTGTATATGCGTAAAGGAAATCACCCGTCAGCACTGTATTGTGGTTGAATTTGTGTGTCACGTGGCTTTTTCAGCAAACAAGGGCATCAAGTGAAGATGAGGAGAGACACGGATATATTGATAGGCCTGTTTGGTTTGTGCCAAACTGTCAATAACATAATAACCTCCCTCTCCTCCTTCTCTCCTTGCTTCTTCTCCACTGTTTTGACAATATTGTATCTCTCTGGCTGTTGTGAGCTGCATTGTTCGTCTGCAGTATGGTGCAGACACGTGCTGCCTCTGAGCTATTTATAAAATTCCCTGACAAATCTATGTAGTCAGAATCAAGCAGTGCGTGTTCTATTCAGCCATGCAGCAAGGCCGGCTCCTGGAGGAAAGAGGCTAAAAAAAGCAACAGCACTCTAATGTCTGAGATATACACAAGTATGCCTCATGAATCTATAAGTACAGGCAACATCCGTTAGACCTCCAGTATCTGAGATGCCAATTTGGGTTGGTGGATTAGGAAGTAAAAATCTAGATCATGGAAGTGTCTGTGTGTATAAAAATCTTCTTTGATGTTACCTAACTTGGTGCAATGCAGGTTTTCAGATTCCACTCCATGTCCTAATTTCTGGACGCTGACAGAAGAAACCCTGCAGTTGTATGTGTTGTATTAGCTGCCTTGCTGCAAAGTGATTATGAACTGTGGGTTTGCATAATAATGAATAGATCAGATTGATCTGCACAGAGCAAATTCAAATTTATTTATATATATATATAAGTTTAATTTAGTAGTTTCAGTATTTTTCCACATACAAATTCAACCACTTTAAGTAAGTTATGCACATTGTGGTAGAACCCAAATTTCCTTGGTGCTGATAGGTGGAATAGAAAAGGAATAGATATATACTACTATAAATGTATGCATGGGTGCTCAAGTGCGCATATCTGTTCTGACGTCAGAAGCAAAAAGACGGAGACCATATGTGTACGTGACGTCATTTCAAGTTAAAAGAAGTACATCACAGGTCGCATCTCTGCTCTCGTTCCTGTTGAGTGCAAGTAAAAATAGCAGCTTGTCAAGTTACATTTTTGGACGTTTAGAGTCTCGCCCAATTATAGCAGATCACGTTTTGGTCCTAAATCTAGGACAATCTCCCACCGTCATTTTTTTTAAATATAGCACTACATGGTGTTCATATAGAAAGAAATAGTTCAGGCTAAATATGCTTCACTTTTTTTCCAAGGCTGATATCATAAGATTGATGCAACTCTCATATCTGTTTAATATGTTGCTGGAGCCAGGAGATAGTTAGCTATAACCTAGCATAAAGATTGTACACCTTTGGCATTGTTTTGTCCAAAGGTAAAAAAAAATAAAATCACCTGCCAGCAAATCTATGGCTTGATAATCAACATGTCATTTGTTGAATCCGTACAAAAAAACAAGGTTTAAGCTTGTTAGTTTATACTAAGCTAACTGTCTCCTGGCTTCAGCTTCATATTCACAGTACAGACATGAGTGGTATTATGTTCTCACCTAACTCTTGGCAAGACAGCAAATAAGCTTTTTTAATGTTAAACATTCATTGTAAAACAGTTCACAAATGTTCTGTCTAATATGTCTATCTATCTAATAATCTACTCCATAATCACTGGACCTGTCCCTACATTACTACTACTACCCATTCATTCATTTTAATTCATGAACTTGTAAATTAGTTCACTCACTGTCAGCCTCTCTGCCCTCTCCACCTTCTCTCACACACTAAAAGAGGGTAATTTGCTTGTCTTGAACCACTGAGCTGTGTCCAGTGCTTTGCTTGTATGACACTGTGCTGATTCTTTTTTAGAGAATACTGGGTCAGAACACTACGAAGGAATCAAGTTCCTCAGGGGAAAATGCACAAATTGTATTTCTTCCAGTAATTTTGAGTAGGTCAGTGCAACAGTAAATAAAAGAA